TAAGATACACAAGCAAAATGCTCAAATCTTGACAGGGGCAGCCAGCCTTCCTGCACGGACCATGACAGGGACAGTGACAGGGAGGATTTGAAGCCTTCAGCCCATCTCTGGTTCCTCCTTCTCCCCTCCCTGAGGGCGGTATTTTTGTATTTGCCACGATCCAAATCTCATAATCACTTCTCGCTGCAAAAGACAGTGCGGATAAGAGCCAAACTCATCGGACAGCAGCTGGCTTTGGCATCTTGGCCGGGCAGAGTGCTTCTCTCTCCTGCTTTCTGTAACTCCTGTTGTGAATTAAACAGTGAAACGACAGCCATGGGATGTTGCAAGTCGTATCTGTAATCAAGGGTTAATCAAGTAAATCTCTCTAAGCAGGAATCTCTTTTTCCACTGACAGTGTGTAGATATAAACAATAGTGGTGCTGAGCTTTTTTGTACAGTGTTGAGATGGTGGTCGCTGGAAATCACAATGTGGATTTCCATCCAAGCCTGGTTGACAAGGGCTTGCTAGTTACAAAAGGTTCGGAAAAAGGCGTGCTGAAGAATTTTTATTCCAATTCCTCTCAAAATCAGGAGAAGGAGAGTAAAACCGTATTTCCTCTCAAGGAATGCCTTTGGCTTACTTGTAACAAACCACAAGTCTATGCAGCAGTTTAAAGATCTAAAAATGTGAGTCTTAAAAAATAGTGGTTGATGGTTTACAGTCCAGCTGAGAACAGATGTTTGGGCTTTTTCAGGAATAAAATTTAACTTCAGGAGGTGTTTGATGTTTGACATAATGCTTCTGTGCAAGAAGAACTTAGAAGTTTCTTAAAGCAAAACAAAAAAAATGAATTTAGCTCTAGTTTAAGTTTTGGTGCCAATCTAGTCTATTATTCTGATGTTAATGTTTATTTTTAGGTTTTTCCTTGTTTTTAAAAAGTCTCATCTCTGGAAACAGCTGGAAATAAAAGCAAGAATCATTTTAAGGTTGAAAGTGCCCTATTTATGCATAATAATATAAATATATGATGTTACACAGGCTTTTTTTTGTTCTGATTCCATATGTAGCCAGGGATCTCTGGGATACCAGAAAGGAAAATAAATGCAATTCTGCAAATGCCATATACACACGTTTGGGCGCAAACATCCCTCTTTCTGAAGCGAGGGAAGTCCTGCTGTAGCAAAAGCTCTGGCAGCAGCTAAATCCGTAACCCGATGGTGTTGAGATCTGCTTTGAATCTGTTAAAAATTCTGCTGGCTGTCTGGAGTTCTCTTTGCACGAGGCTTTGCAGTGCTGCTGCCCTAAGGGACACTGCTGAAAGTGGTTCTGTTGTGGAGAGATTTTCTTTATCTCGTGGGTTATTGAAATAGCTCTGTGGCTCTGTTTAAAGAGTCAAAATTCCTCTTCCATGAGGTTCCATGGTCTATTCTCTCCCAGTAAAAATCCTTGTGTACTTAAGGAGTCACAGACAAAGTTTATAGGACAAAGTTGTTCGTGCAGAACAAGGTATACAGTAGAGCAGTACAAGCAGTTCTTGTGCAGCAGCAGCTAATACAAAAACATGCACTGAGGAAGCTCTGGCCATATTAATGGGTGTATAAAATATCACACAGATTTGGCTAAAACATCCCCCCAATCTGTCTCTCCTTTGTCTTGGAGCAAGGTGACAGCAGGCCACAGAAATGCAGTGTGTGCTCTTGGCTGCTCGGGTAACAGTAGCTGATCTAAAGGAGCCCCTTGGATGCTGTTAAGGCACCATATTCCTGTTAAATGATTGTTTAAGGTGCAAAAAAAATTAAATGCTTCATCTAGATCCAGCGAAGCAGAATTGCTGGTCCAAAGAGACCTTTACAGTGAAACTAATAGCAATGGAGAAGCACTTCATGTCTCACTGTTACATCCAGGGCTGATTTGAAAGCAGCTTTGTGGGCTGTGACTTTAGTAGTGATGAGCCCTAGGGATTCATAGAATTATAATTTTAAAATTTTTATTATTTGAATATTGCTTAAACTTTATTTCAGGTCTTCAAGGGATTCTGCCATCTAATTTGAGTCACTTGCTGGCGAGCATAGCCTGAATCTCAGAAAGAAACCATGGGGTCGTATTTCCATCTCGGCTCCTGCTGTCGCGGTGGTTAAACCCTTCCTTTCTGCCCACGCCTCCTCTCCCCTGTTTGTGAAAGTCACCCGTGTTTTGCTGCAGTGTTTTAAGATTGGCAGAGCTGTGAGGGGCAGCTGGGTGCCCTATTTCTTTGGCTTCATTTTTGGAAATGCTACTTGAAATCACTTGCAGCTTAATCACACATGGAAAGGCTCTTCAGTTCCCGAGGGATTTTTATTCATTCAAGTTTGCTGCTAGTAACAGTTCATGTTACATTAGGAAACCGCGATTCCTGACCTCAAAGAGTTGAAGGCACGTTTTTAAAAATAGAAATGGGACGGTTAAAAGAAGACTTCATTTTAAGTGCTTGCTAGAAACAAATTTGCATCCTGAATAAATATTACATCAAGCTTTAAGAAATGATTGAATCAAATTGCTTCTCAGGGGCTTGTGTTCTTTTTAAAAAATACTAATAGTAGGATGTTATTTGTGACAGATCACTTCTAGGTATTTCAGTGTTTTTCGTCTTGCCTAAGCAAATAGATTTGTTGCAAAGCGTCAGAGGTTGTTTCAGTGGAGAATCGTAGATCATAAATGCCTTCTAAAAGACTCACAGCCATAATCAATAATCTAGAACTGATAGAGCGATATGGAAAGCCAATGTTATATGTGCACCCTGCCCTTGTTTTATATGTGGCCTGCGGTTAAGCAGCAGAGGACTTGAGAGTGGAGGACCACGAAGGCTCGTCCAGCCTGGAGAAGAGGTGGCTTCCCAGGAGGCCCAACAGAACGTTCCCATTCCCATGAGGAGCTCATCATAACCACGGATTCATGCTGGAAAAGGAGAGGTTCCTACAGAGCACAGGAAGAACTTTTTCACCCTGAAGAGCAGTAGAACAGGTTGCTTAGGTGGTTTGTGCAGTCTCAGCAGAAAACCTGACCATGTAAAGCCCTGAGAAACCTCAGTCTGACCCCAAAACTGCCCCTGCTTTGAGCAGGAAGCTGGGCTAGAAACATCCCAAGTCCCTGCCAACTTCAGGTTTTATGTTTCCAGTGCTCCTCTCTGTGTGGTGGATGTGGCTGTGGTTGGTTGCATGACTGCTGTAAGAAGAGCCCCGAAGGCGTAGCAGCAGTAGTGTTTTTATTGTACAGTCAGTGTCAGTAAGTGATTTATGCCACACTGCTCTATTCCTGCCCGGTCCTGAACTGTTGTCACCACTGGTAGTGAATTTTGTCTTGGGCTCAGAGGATCCCATCAGAACTAGCATCCCACGGAGTTCAGAGCCTCCGTGTACATCCGCCTTGGGAAAACTGATGTGCCACCCCGAGGGTGGCTGGCAGTAGGACACACTTTAACGTAGCATTTGCTCCATAAAACCTCCATGCATAGACACAGCACACCAATAAATACACCTCACATTACCTATTCACTTAAGAAGCTGGAAGGTCCAGGCCACATCTGTTAAACACACTCAAATTCGGAGTGATTTTCCTGCATGCAGGGAAATGGAGCCCTCCTGTGTCACTATTACTTCTATATCTGTGCATGGCAGCCCAAGGGAGTGACAGTGCTGGTGTCCCATGTTAATGCATCCTCAAACTGGACCCTCTGAGCAACAGTATGAGCTTCCTAACATTCAAAAATAGTGATTAAAAGGATCCTGAAACTTAGGTGTTACAGCATATTGAGTAAGAAAGTACGAAAGAGTGGTAACACTGGGATCTAAATTAAAGTGCCTCTTTGGCTTTTAATGGAAAATACGTGGCAAATCCCATCGATTCTCCATTGCTTTTCATAGCTCCCCTCCATAAGGTGTGCAGTATTCAGCTGTTCTGTCAGGCTGATGGAGGCTGTGTTTTTGTTTGTCTTTCATGTCACATTGATTCATCTCGTCAAACCCACATGCTGGGAGATTTTTTTTGTGTGTTGAAGGGACCCGTGTTTGTGCCATCAAACCGGTAATTGCAGCGTGCCACTTTCTGCAGGCAGGTTTTGGTGACAGCGAATGGGGACAGAATTGCTCTGAAGGTGTTTTGTTTCAGATGATGAGTTCTGTGTGACTAAAGCTCTTCAATGGAAGGAGCTATTAATGGTCACGTATAAATTATTTGAATACTATAGTTTACTTGTCAGCTGTTCATTAAAAGTGTTATAGCTTGTTATAAAGATATGCTACATACGTAGGATAGGAAATCACTGTAGGATAGGAAAATACCACAACTTAAAATGACATAAATGCTGTTGGTTTTATTGACTTTGTACATCAGTGGTTTTTTGTGCATCTTTTCTCTAAGCAAATGGTGACCTCTAGGAAACAACCTCACTCGGCTTTTTTTCCTCCACCTCTCTGCTCAAAAATTCCACTTGTCACCCCCAAAATTGGAGGTACAACAATTTTCCCTTGAAAGTTCTTGCTTGGTAGTGTTTCAGTTCACTTCAAGGCTTAACCACATGAGGTATTTTCCCTGTAGTTAGTGTGTATCAAAACCATATAGATTCCTATTTTATGCTATCAGTCTCGCACTATCACTATTCAGAATAGTAATTATTTAAAATGTTGTTTGGATCAATCTAAAAATGCTTTGTCTGAGTTAGATTTACTAAAACCCGTGGGGCTTTGCTTAGCCTGAAGTATGTGTTTAGCTGTTCTTGGACTGGGGAGAATCTGTATCCACATCAACAGGACGAAGACTTCTGGAGATGATAATGTGGTAAAATTGTCATCCATTTAAAAAGATGCTACCGGTGTTTGTTCTTGAGAAATTGTACTTATTGGAGACAGGATTCGTTTAGAAAAACATCAGTGTTATCAATGTGATATAGTTATACTGCCTTTATACATCCTAATGCATCTTTAAAAGGTCTTTCAATATGTACTTACCACACTGTTAATTTTCTTCCCTGTTTTACAGATACTTTGAGTGAGGACACCAGACCCAAAGATCCATATCCCATTCCAAGAAAGATTATGGCTGAACCAGACTACATAGATGATAACAATCCTGAGTTAATTAGACCTCAGAAATTAATTAATCCTGTGAAGTCATCCCGGAATCATCAAGATCTCCATAGAGAGTTGCTTATGAACCAGAAAAGGTAAAAGTCTAAAAATAGCTCTCTTTTTTTTTTTTTTCTTTTTAAACTCTGCTTGATTGCTACATTCAGCAAGATGGTATTGTACTCGAAACCCAGCAGGCATATTCTGTTGATCATATCTTGTGGATAGGACAACTTTGTGATTCTTAATATTTGTGCTTGAGTTTCAGTGGTCTAACCATCTTTTCCTTGATAAATGTATCCTCTTTGCAGAATTCAGATATTTGATTTCAAACAACTCTTGCTATCATTTCCATATTGGATGATCATTTTAAAAGCTTTGCCCATGTTGTCTGCTGTTGTGTTTATATGTGCTGTGTTATCTGTGGTTGACCCTGCACTAACCAGCAGCTGGGACACTTCAGGAGGCTTGCTAAACATAAATAAATCAATATGATCTGCAAAATACTGCAATAATAGTTCTAAGAAAGCTGAAGTCTGTCTCACTGTTTCATCTGTGGGTATTGACTTAAGTTTAGGCCTCCCACATCTGTTCTGCTACTAGTCAAAGTATGTATTGAGGAAGTTGAACACAAGATCAGTTGTGGATCTTGCAGTGAAGCTCTGTAAAGCTTGCTGCAAAAGACTTCTCACTTAGTTCTCGTGAATAGGCATTAAAGGTAGGTTTTAAGAGAAGATGGTTCAGTTTTCTCCTATCACGTTTCTGAGTCACAGGGCACTATCATTTTTCTTGGTCTCTTAACGTTATCCGCTGTTCGACAAGACTTTGTTGTTACCAGTAAAATCATAAAATCTGTAAGATTTTTACCAATCTCAGCAGACTTGAGTTTACTGGACCACTTCAAAATCAAAGAAATCATATATTTTATTACGGATGAAATTCTTCTTTATTTACTTGATCTTTCTTAAAACACAGTGTGATAGTTTGATGCTGGCTCTGCTGCTGCACAAATGTTTATGCAAATACTGCTTCCTGCATTCTGGCATGGCATGTGCAGCTGTTGTTTTGTTTGCTACTTTTGAAAACGTAAAGATCTGCAGCTTGATTGCATCAACTGCAGAGACACAGGGACTTGGTCCAGAGGTAGCTGAAACTGGGTTATTAAGTCTCTTCAACAAAGGAAGCTTCGTTTAGAAAACATACAAAGGAGACACTCATGCAGTTGAATGGATACAAAAAATAAATGCCAGAAAAGAAAAAAGCCACCGAACCTCAACTTATCAAATAAACAGAAACGAACACCAATTTAAATGAGTGATTTCATGGAGAATACCCTGTGTTAACTTGGCGTCAAGAGTGCATGGCTGTCCGTACAGCAATAAGTTAGGACTTGATGCCTTCCTACCATTCTGGGGAAGATTCGTTGGAACTTGCTATTCAAGACTCTTATTTATTTATTGGTTACAAGATCTATAACATTCATCCTAACACGGGCCTTGGAACTCGTAAGTTCCTTGCCTAGTGACATCTGGTACAAGGCTGTTGTTCATTGTTTTCATGTTTCTTTCATTGACTTTGTTGGATGCTGCTAGTAGGGAATTACAATGTGGACATCCTTAGGAAGTGGATTGAACTTCCTTTGCTCCTTTCTCTTCATTCTCCCTGATTTTCCTGTCTCATATCCACTGCTATGAAGTTCCACTTAGAGTAAACAGTATCCTCTTCTCCACAGAGTATCTACAGAGCAAAGAGCACAGCTCCTTACATTGGAACCACTCAGTATGGACTTTTCATAGGAAAAGGTGTGGGGATCCATAAAATAAAAGGAGGAAAAAGAAACAATATTTCTGAGTGCACTTGATAATAATAAATTTACCATCAGGACCATTCAGCTTTTTTTGAGGCCAAGGCCCTTGATAGGGGAGGTGATGCAGCTATTGCTTTGGTTTCTCCAGCATAACTGGATTTGTATATTTGGCATTAAGAGTCACATTCTGGAAGTTTCTCCTTTTTTGCCTTTGACATTGTATTATTCTGAAGGTGGAAGAAGGTTTTTTTCTACATGTAATAGCAAAATCCTCAGAAGTGCTAGGTTTAGGTACTTAATTCTGAATGCGTTGCACACACAATACAGCATTCTTCTACTGGTGAGGTAGAAATGTTTCACAGAATAGCAACTGAAATGGAAGAAGCGGGCATTTATGTGTTTTTCTTATTTTTCATTAATGGGATTAAACTTCAAAGTCAGTTTCTAGCACCAAGAAGTTTATAGGCATTGAAAGAAAAGAGTTGAAGTTTCCCGACTTAGCATCTTGTTCTAAAGCGTGCAGAGGCTGCAATAAATTAAATCTGCTACTTTCTTTTTTTTCTTTTTTTCTCTTACGGAGTTTATAAAAGCATTAGCTACTTTCAAATAGTATAAAGTTCCTTTCTTTTAGAAGAATATCCTATTACATAAAAGGGCTGTGGTGTCCTCAATACCCATTCTTTCTTTTATTCTGATGCTGATTAGGTGCAGCTGTTAATTTTAGATCCTTATTTATTGAGGCAGAAATGAAATATTTTTACAGTTTTCACCAGCAGAGAAACTGGTATTTTGGAAAGAGAGCGGACTCAGTGCTTCGTGCCAAAGTACCAGTTCTGATAAGAGGCTTTTCTATAGATGTTAGGCTGGTGTTCTGCTCTTTTGCTGTAAATTTCCATTTGTATGAGCGAATTTTAGTGCTCTCTTGGGAGTGTTGCTTAACACTTACTTCAGTGTGAAGACTCGGGGTAGGCACCAAGTGCTTTGACTAAGCAAATTTGAACAGTGTTTCTGGGTCTTAGAGTTTTTAGTGCTGATCCTATAAGTCTCTGTACCTAACATAAGCAGTGTCCGTTCTGTTGTAATTTAATAGTTATTTACTTTCAGAAATGGTGCTCATTTTGGATAAAGATGAAGGTAATGGTTACTCTAGGCAATGATCACTTACATTAATGTATTTTGGCTTATTAGAGTACACCTTAGCTGTGCATTACTGCTTTTCCTTTCAGACATTAACGCTATCAACTAACTGGTGTTAAAGCACACTTTACTTAGTTTTATACGTAAATTTTAGGGTCTTTTATTTAACCAGAACAGCCACCCAGATATATCAAAATAACCCTGCCTGGGGCTTTCCTTTTTAAATAAAAGAATGAAAAGAGGACTGAGGTTGCAGTTTTTCTGGCACAGATCTGACCATCAAACCCATGTGATTTTATAGAAAGGCCGTACGCTTATTTTCTGCAGTGGGTAGTTCACAGAATCACAGGATGGTTGAGGTTGAAAGGGGCCTCTAGAGATGATCTAGTCCAGCCTTCTGCAGGCACAGGGTGGCATCCAGGCGGGTTTGGAAGATCTCCAGAGAAGGAGACTCCACAGCCTCTCTGGGCAGCCTGTGCCAGGGCTCTGGCACCCTCACAGGAAAGAAGTTCTTCCTCACAGGGAG